CTGCTTTGCAGAATCTGTGAAGGATACACATCATGAAGTGTCAAAATACCCGTTGTTAAAGAGGTCAGTCCGGCTACTTTCCTAAAGCGGCCAAGTCAGCTGTTTGCGCCACACAAACACCGCTGCCTGACTGCCTGAGGCGAGCAAGACAGTTGCTCCGCTGCGGCGCTCAGAAAATTTCCCCCGCCGCGCATTAATTGGCCTGGCCATTTTCTTTCTCGCATCTGGAGCTCTTCTTTAAATAACTTGCAGGTGTCTTTTCCTGGTCGATTCCTCCTTTCCGCTTATATCCCTATCTTGCGCTTGCGCATTTCAGGTAAGATACGAGTGCCCTGCTTGCCTCCTCCAATTCTCCGCATCGCCGTCGCGCGGTTCTCCGTCCATCATTGGCCAAATCGGTCCGTATCATGGTTCTGACGCGGGATTGCACCCTACCCTCATCCTGAACTTATCGCCTGTGCCTCTCTGCTTTTGACGATATGTAGGAATCACTGACTGATATTTTTCCACTCTAGTATAGACTCTATACATCAATCTCCCCTATACCCCCTTATCCTCCTACAACACAGCTCGTGACCATGTCCGAAGAGCAAAAGCCTGTCGCCCAGCCCAACGCTGAGGCTGAGAAGGATGTACAGAACGTCCTCGCCGAGCTGAAGGGTGAGAACGAAGCCCCCGCCAACGCTACCGAAAAGAAGGAGACCGAAGATGCCGAGGAAGCCCGCATTGTCGAGGCCGCCGCCAAGCTGGGCGAGAAGTCTGAGAAGGCTGAAGAGCAGAAGACGACACAGGAATCTCGCAACGACAACCGGGGTCGCGAGGGCCGCTTCAACCGCCGCAACAATGCCAAGTTTGACCCCTCTACGCAGCAGGTGACGGATGACCCGGTCGAGATCCGCAAGCAGGTTGAGTTCTACTTCTCTGACTCCAACCTGCCCATGGACAAGTTCCTGTTCTCCAAGGTCGGCGGTAGCGCCAACCGTTCGGTTCCTCTGGAACTTCTGCACTCCTTCAAGCGCATGCGCCGCTTCCAGCCCTTCAGCGCCGTCGTCGAGGCCCTCAAGTCGTCCGAGACGCTTGAGCTGACCGATAACGATACCTCCGTGCGCCGGAAGACTCCCCTTCCGGAGACCGTGTCGCAGACTCACGACCACAACGTGGTCAAGGTGTTCGAGGACCAGGCCATGAGCCGTAGCGTCTACGCCAAGGGTTTCGGCGATGAGGAGCCGACCACTCAGCTTGACATTGAGGCCTTCTTTGCCCCCTACGGACCCGTCAACGCCATCCGTCTGCGTCGTGCCTACGACAAGACCTTCAAGGGCAGTGTGTTCGTTGAGTTCGAGTCGGAGGAGAAGCAGAAGGCTTTCCTGGCCCTGGACCCCAAGCCCCAGTGGAAGGGTCAGGACCTGCTCATCAAGAGCAAGAAGGACTACTGCGACGAGAAGGTGCGCGACATTGAGGCTGGCCGCGTGAAGCCCAGCGGCTCCCGCGGACGCGGTGGCTTCCAGCGCGGTCGCGGCCGTGGCCGTGGTGGAAACCGTGGCCGTGACAACCGCGACTGGAGGGAGCGCCGCGCAGCTGACCAGAAGAACGGCTTCAACGACAAGAAGAGTGAGCCCAAGGAGGAGCGCAGTGAGGTCCAGAAGGATGCTCGGTATGTATTCACTTTGTCTTCCCCCCTATCACCACCCCATTACACAAAAGCAAAAGTATGTATACTAACAAAACATTTCAGCGGCGTCCCCATTGTCCAGAGCACCGCCGAGTCCGGCCAGAAGCGTGCCGCCGAAGACGAGGCGAACGGCGACCACCCTGCCAAGAAGGTGGACGCCAAGGAGTAAACGAAATAAAGTCATCTTAATCAAAAAGAACAAAAAAGAAAAGTTGCACAATCAAAGCTGGCTGTCTATCATCAAGGACACCACTTGCTTATATTTTTTTCGTTGCTTCGAAAGAAAAATGGGAATAAGGGTTATGGGATACAAAAAGCATGACTTTGGCTCGAATGACTACCCCCGGACTTTGAAGACCATAGTACCATAATGGCGTTGTATAATTTCATTATTATTTTTTTTTTCTTTTTCTTTCCATTATTATTCACCGATATCCTTGCTTCGGTGGACGCTACATTCTAGACTTACGGAATAGGATGTTCTGGAATTCATCTTTACCGTTTAATTTCCTTCCTATTGGTAAGTGAGTGTACTATCGTGGAATATTCATCAAGCAAGATTGCGACTGGCTATAACATAGAACTTATTGCATAGAAGTAGCACGCTAGTAATGCAGTAATAATATGTAGAATTTCATGACTTCTTCCAAGTACTAGAAGTGTTGACTGCAACAGCCAGGGCTGCACTTATATTCATCAACTACGGCACGTATATAACGGTATCATATGCTAAACCACCTCTCATCCCCAAACCTCTCATTTCTTCTTCTTCGTCTTATCCACAACATCAATCCACTGCGTCCTCAATCCACGTCTCACCAATGCCGTCTCCAACGCGCGTCGCTGGTCTCCCTGGACAAGCACCTCCATGACGCCCTTAGGCGCGCCAGTAGCCTGCGTTACACTGGTGCTGCTAGCGCATTTCTTCTGCAGTTCTTCGGCCAAGAGACTAGGGATGATGCCGAACACTTCGAGGTTCCAGACCTTAGTGACGGTCTTAGAACCGGTGCGGCGTTCAAGGATCACATTGACCTTGGGGGCGGCGCCTGTTTTGGGCTTTACCTCGGAGAGGGTTTGGCCGGGTCGTAGGATGACGTAGTGGGCTGTCATGAGGGAATGGTCGTCGATGAGACGCTTGAGGAGGCCGTCGCGGGTGGTTTTGCCGCGGGAGAGAGTGCTCTTGTCATCGGCGGAGGAGGAGGTGAAGATGGTGTTGGCGAGGTAGGGGTTGAGGGTAATGATGCGCTTGTTTTTGGGGTCGACGAGTGGGGGATTTTGAGATTGGATGTATTGGTCGAGGTGGGTGGAGATGTCGGTGTATTTGTAGTAGTTGCTGGGGTGGGTGCTGGATAGGGCGGGGAAGATGGTTGGAGTGAGTTTGTTGGTTGGGCGATAGAGAGTCTGCACGGTCAGGGTTTGGCCGACTGAGGGGTCGCCGCTGTCTGTAGATGCGGACTTGGCGTTGTTTGCTGAAGTGGCAGGCTTTCCTGCGTTCTCGACGGCGTTCTTGGATGGGAGGCTGTAAGGGACGAATTCTACAACGCGACGGTCATTGAAGTCCACATCGAGGATGACGGTCTCTTGGCCGTTGCGGTCTTTGGACTTGACCAAGCGCTTCTTGTCCAGGTATTTGATGAACTTTTTCACGTTCTTCCAACTGGTCTTCTTGATTTGGTAGTATTGGGTTTGTTTTGCGGTGTATATGGGCAGGTGGGGTGTGATCATGTTCGATATCAGAGCAGATGGTTGAACGGGTAAAGATAGACCATGATTGGTAGCGGATGGGTTATCTTGCTTGAGCTTGTAGAGGGAGTAGAGGAAGGCCTTTTCGAAAGCCTCATCAATTTCTTCACGTGGTCAGCATATAGACCCCTTGTTGTTATGAGCGAAACTCACCTTTGGTTGTGGGCTCCTTCTCTTCAACCTCAGGAACCTCCTCCTGCGGGACATCAGGCGCTTCGTCCGATGCTTCCTCGCCTCCAGCTCTTTGAGTGGCCTCTTCACCACCTACTGCTAGGTTCTGCACGCCCTCTTCAATCTCTCCTACATCTTCGTCCTCTTCCAGTTCATCATCCCAACCCTCCAGATACTCTGGAGCGGGCTGACCTGGCTTGGAAGACGAGCTCCAAGCCCATAACTCGTCACCTTCCCAGTGCAGACCTCGAACGGCATGTCCCTTCGTGCCCTGGACCTCACCAAGGGCAGAGATGTCGATCTCGCACACGCCCACAAACAGCGGTACCGTATGCCTATTTAGGCTTGCAACAGCAACCACTGCGCCCTTAACGGCACGCTCGTCAAAAGGCGGGTCATTGGCCAGACCCGGAGTCATCAGGTCGGCTCCTCCGTGCAGTTTCTGCATGACCATTTGCGGGGTATGAAGCAGTGGCACCAGATCTGGGTTGTGCCAAAGTGTATATACCGTAGGGTAGAGGCGACCATCGGCGCCGGGGCCGTGGTCGACTCTGAACCACAGAACCCGTTCATCGGCCCCGGGATGTGTTCCAACATACATCGTTCCTTGTACTTCGCGGAGCTGAGGCCCGGCGGTCGTAATAAAGCGTGCGGTCAAACAGTTCTCGGGGAGTAGAGCATTTCGAATGGAGGTAAGGTTTGACGCGGTTGGGTTGGATGCGCCTGGAGCTGAGTCGTCGCCGCTGGTTTCGACCGGTGCACTTTGTGGGACCTCGATCTTGTAATCGCTGATAATCTGATCGGCAATCTTTCGACGGTCGGATGACCGCAGGGGAGAAAGATTTTTGATCTGCGATTGTCTAGTGTGAGCGATGCGCTCAAAAAGGCACGATTGACCTTCTTGTAAAGTGGTGCGGGGGAGGGGTAACGTACCGTGGGCTTCTTCTTGAACATGATGGAGGAACGAGGGTGCAGTGGTTTAGTAGACGAGTATTAGATGACGATCTAAGCCATGCAGCCCACGCCAACAGAAATGGAGTATCCGGGGAGTGGATAAAGGGAAGAAGAGGCTATTCGGAGAGCTGCTGAGGGGACGAACGAATGGATTTGACTACCGCAACAACAATCGCCCGCGTGGTCCCCGCTTCCCGAGGTTTCAACACATTCTACGCATACATCACTGAATAACATCATTACCAGCAATCAAAGCATGAAAATCCTTAGAACTTCGATACTCCCTCAACCTTCACCAAACGCACAATTTGTTTTCCTGCCCAGTATCATGTAAGAGGATAGCGGTAGTACCTGCCGGAGAGTCCTACTGCACCGTTCAGGTTAGGCCTCATTGTATACTTCGCAGGCACCCAGGTAGAGCAAAACGCACAAATTAGAAGTCTACTCACCAGCCCTCAGCTCAATCATAATAGTCATCACAGAACCCATCATCCATTCCATAGTCTGGCTGGTCATAGCACTTCTGGAGCGGCTCATTGATGTTTGCCTCGCAGTCCTCGTAGTCGTAGTGGCTCTGGTCTCCCTCATAGCCTTCATACTGGTCGTGATAGAATGGAATTGGTCCTTCATCCCAATCCACATATTCTTGTTCAACCGGCTCTGCTCCCCTGAGCTCGCAATACTCCGGGTCGAGCTCGCTATCTTCTTCTTCCTGATCCTCGTACTGCTCTTGAGATCCTTCCTGCTGCTCGGCTTCCCAATACTCCTAGTCATACCGTCTCATGGTGTCTAAAATCTCCTTCGCTTCATCGTAGTCCTCGAAATCGTACGGTTTCAATCCATAGGATAACATGAAATCATGCATGCCGTTTAATCCAGCTTCCTTGATCATCCGATACTGACTCTTCTCATTGGGGAGAATGTCATCTGGCTGCTGAGGTGTGACCTGGGAGGGCGACATAATGGCTTGGGGAGATGGGGAAAGAATATTATTAGCAGCTCTCTGACTTCGACAATATGGGAGAGAAATCTGAAGGTGAGGAGAGGTAGTAAGTAGTCCATGAGAAGCCAGGCCGTTATTACTTGTAGCAGTGCCTTCCATTTCGGGCAAGAATCGGTCACGGGGTACTACCATGATCAATAGAGACAATACAATCAAGACAGGCTGGAAAGCACACCGACGAGAATCTTGTGGGCCATGCTTTGCAGGCCATTGTTGCCTTCCTCATGACCGTCAACGATTACCAGTCACTTATCAACGACTACTAAATCCGATTCTATCTAGACGGCGGATACAAAGAATGCAGTATTATACGAAAGAGAACGGTACAGTTGAGAGTCACAGCTTCAATATTGATATTTTATAGGTACATAAGTGGATACCCGATCCGAAGCGAAAAGAGCATCAGACGGCTAAAAGGGCTCGTGTAGCCGTCAGATAGAAACAAGAAGGAATGTCTATATGATCCGAACTTCCACGTCTGGCTGGGCGCTTAGGCGTTGAGGTCACGGGCGTGCTTCTTCTCAGTGACCAGCCAAGAGAAGGTCTCCTTCAGGACGCTGAGGAACTGGTCGGCGCTCAGAGAGCTGAAGTAGCTGGTGAGGTTGTCGCTGGAGACGGCGACGCTGGAGCTGCTGGGGGTGGCAACAGCGGCGGCGCTGGAGCTGGCAACCTGGATGTGGGTTTGCTGGGGGGCGCTGCCAGTGACAGTGACCTGCACAACGTCAGTCGAAGTCTGGTAAGCAGTGGCGACCGCAGTCTGGACGGTGGTTTCAACGTCGGTGACAACGGCGGCAGCAGCAGCAGCGGTGGTGGTGGTGGCGCTTACGGCGGAGCTAGTCGCAGCAGCAGCGCTGGTGGTGGAGCTGGAAGCGCTGGAAGTAGAGGCACTGGAAGTAGTAGCGGCGGCAGCGGCAGCGGAGCTGGTAGAAGAGGCACTGGAGGAGCTGCCGGAGGAAGTGGCGTTGTACATAGCAGGGCCGGGGATGTCATAGGAGCTCAGGCTCTGGTAGATGTTGACCAGGATACCCGGGTCGGTGTCCTTGTAGAGGGCTTCACCCTTGGTGCCCGAGTAGGTGGAGCTACCACTACCGGTAACCTTCAGGTTGAGACATTGAGGGTAGTTCTGGGCGCCATCCTTGTTTTCAGCGGAGTGCAGGGCAATGATCTCGTGACGCAGGACGTAGTTACCAGACTCGAGGGTCGAGGGGATGGTCACAGTCCAGCTATTGTTGTTGGAGATCAAGTTGTCGGTGGCCCAGGTTCCAGGGACCTCAGTGTCGCTGATAAGGCCGCTCTCGTCGATCTTGAAGAACTCAAGGTCAGTCTTGGTGACATCGGAGCAGTCACCGTTGCAGTTGGCAAGGTAAGTCAGGACGGGACCGTGGTGGCTGGAGGGCCAGTCAGTCCACTGGAGCTCGACAGTACCACCAGCCTTGACGTCAGCGGAGATAGCACCAGGCTTAGCGCTCTTGTGGCAGATGATGTCAGCCTCGGCGTATTCACTGCCGTCGACGAAGCCAAGGTCAGTGGCTTCGGTAGACCAGGCAATGGTCTCCGGAGGGTCACTCTCATAGGCGTAGGAGGTGACGATGTATCCTCCGTAGTACTCGCCGTCGACGACAGCACCAGACACATAACCGTGGCCAGCAACAAGGGCGGCCGAGCCGAGGACAATACCAGCAATCTTAGCGACAGACATTTTGCAGGCTTTGGTTTAATCGACGCACAGCGTGATCGTGGGTAAGAGGGATCGGTTGGGAAAGAAAGAGTGACGAAGAAAATGGTCTTCAATCAATGAAGCCAGGAAAGGAAAGCAAGAGAATGGATGGTTCTAAGACCCCGGGAAAAGAAATGAATGAGAAGCTGATGAGGAGGAAAGGAAGAAAGGTCGAAGCAAGACGTGAATCCAGCGCCTTTATATAATGCTCGCCATGGTCGTAGTTCTATCAAGTCTCCGCCCAAAGCTTAGACCGAACGGTTTCGAACCAGGATAAATGAAAGGTTCACTCCCCGATAGCCATGCTGCAATTGGATTTCTTGGCAGCTGTCAGGTTCCCACTGACTACAGGGCCGACTGAGACGCGGAATTGATTGGGATAGGGTCATCGCAGACGGAGAGTCTGAGATTGATGAAAAGCAGGCACTAGACCACAGACCACAAACACGCCGGTAGGTTCCAGAGTCAGAGGTCGAGACACCCTTGCAGGAGCCAGTTACTACTTGGGCATTAGCGTTGTCCAAACAGGGGAGACGGAGAGGCGCCGAAAAGGGCCCAGCGAATTTAGCTACATACCGGAGCAGAAGAGTGGACCGAGTGCCGGAGGCCCTCTGGCTGTCCGGCGGCAGTCTGCGACATGGCGAGTTTCACTCTGGAGCTATTCTGGCTCCAACTCCGCCCTGCCAAGAAATGCCATTTTTGCCAGTTCCGCCGGAAGTGGCTTGTTTAGGTTATGTCAGTTATTGGAGATAGAAAAACTGTTTGGTTTTGGAATTGATAGAGAGAAGAGCTTGGAAGCCGGGGTGAAGTACTTCATCAGTACGAGATGGTTGTAAATAGCTAACTAACCAACTACATAACTAGTTAGTCAGGTGGTACTGCAGTAGTCAGCGATCAACCACGTGCGCACTAGTCCCTATTGAACTCTTGCTCCCCTCACTCAGTGGCTTTTGACAGTACTACACTTCTATTATGAGAGTTTTTCCATGTTCTGCGTGATGAAATGTGGCGGGAAATAAAAAAAAGAGCGACAAGCCTGAATCTCAAAATGGAGGGGCGCATCAATGCCACCTGCCACCTAATAGAGATGGTGCTATCCCGTCACATACATAGTGGTGATAACTGGGGCCGGGGCCCATCCGACAATTAGATTGAGACCGCCGATTTAATTGCAGGGAGGGCCGCATCGAATCCGGTCTTGGCAATGCCCTTACGAAGTAGAGTCAAGCTTCTCATGATTCATTCGTTCACCTTCTCAGCTTTGATTAACACCTCCCTGTAGGCTAATAAGCAACAGCCCTGTATTGATTGGGTGCCGCCCAATTTCTGTTGGATGGAGTTGGTCTGGATTGCCTGCTAACGTAACCGGCAAGCGAGTCGGCCAGGCAAGCCAGTCGGCCACCTGTGTATTCCATACTAATCCAGCAATTTTTGAGCTGTAATACTACAGCCAAACTTCATAAATTCAGGTTTACCTAATGAAATTGGCATACTAGAATGTATCTAAGTTTAGTATATAAATCTTATAAGATAAATATTAATATATATTCAAGTAAAATATATTACACTGTATTTTTATGGTAATTTATTTCAAACTAGTATTATATATGATATGAATCTTATTATATCATATATTTTTGATGTTTAGTTTCTTAAAGTATATCCATAGCTTCAGTTAATATTTTATTGTAATTGAGCTAACGGTGGGTGAGATATTAGAGTTTGATAAATGTTAGATTAGTATGGGATACACAGGTGGCCGACTGGCT